ATATTCAAATTATTATAACCCATGTTGGAAGAACCATCCCAACTTTAACTGGAATAATACTACGGGTGATAGTAATCAGCAATGGGGGAACAGTCAAGGAAACCCATTGGGAAATTGGAACAAGCAAGGGAATAATGATTATAGATCTGCTTATCCTCTAGGTTTCAACAATAATACACAATTTAAGGAGAATAAGTTATCTATAGAAGAAGTGGTGTTACAAATCAGAAATCAATTACAAAGTCAAGGAGCTACAATTAGAAATCTTGAGAATAAAATTGGACAAATCACAAATTCATTAAGTAATAGATCCCAAAGAACAGTTCCTTGTAATACTGAAATACATCCAAATGACCAGAATAAAGAGCAAGTAAAAACCGTTCAACTTAGAATTGGAAGAGAGTTGGAAGGTAGGATTCAAAAAGAAACTGAAGTAGAGAGAGAAGAAATTAAAAAATCAAAAGAGGACACTCCAAAAGATTCTAAAAGACCTATTTCTCCGCTGAAAATTGACTTAGAAAAACCACCAACTCCATTTCCTCAGAGACTTCGTCAATAGAAGTTGATAAGCAATTTTCAAAATTTATAAGCAATTTTCAAAATTTATGGAAACTTTTAAGAAGCTTACAATTAATATTCCATTTGCTGAAGCTTTAGAACTAATGTCAAGTTATGTAAAGTTTATGATGGATATTCTTATTAGAAAAAGAAAGTTTGAAGATAATGAAACTGTTGTACTTAGTGAGGAGTGCAGTGCTATAATTCAGAAGAAGCTTCCTAAAAAGCTTCAAGATCCTGGTAGCTTTACAATTCCATGCACAATAGGAGACATATTTTATGGGAAAACTTTATGTGATTTAGGTGCAAGCATTAACCTTATGTCATTATCAATATTTAAAAGATTGGGATTAGGAGAAATAACCCCTATAACTGTAACTCTGCAGTTAACAGATCATTCAATAACGTACCCTAAAGGAGTTATAAAAGATTTTCTAGTGAAAGTGGATATTTTTATCTTTCTTGTTGATTTCATTGTGCTAGATATAGGGGAAGATAAGGAGGTACCTATCATTTTGGGGAGACATTTCCTAGCCATAGGAAGAGCAATGATAGATGTTCAGAAAGGGGAGTTAACAATGTGCATCAATGATCAAACTGTTACTTTTAACATTTCAAGATCAATGAAGTAGCCTGCAAAAGTTAAAGATTATGAATGTTATAGAATGGATGTTATAAGATATCCGAGTCAATGCGATTTCAAAACTAGTTATGAAGAAAAACCTAAAGTACAAGACTTGGAACACGAGCAAGAAGAGGAACTAGATCAATGTGAAGATCTTTTTAAGGAAGATTCAAACTATGTTCGAGAAAGTATTAAAATTCTGGACATGATAGATAAGGATAAATCATTTTATCCATCAATTGAAAAAAACTCCATAACTGGAGTTGAAGTTACTTCCTCATCATTTAAAATATGCCTTTTTAGGAGATTCCTTTACTTTACCAGCTATAATTTCCTCGAAGTTAATTATGGAAGAAGAGGAAAGATTGATGAAAATTTTGAAAATTTTTAAGAAAGCATTTAGATGGACAATAGCTGATATTAAGCTGATATTAGAGGAATCAGTCCTTCAATTTGTATGCATATAATTCATATGGAAGAGAACTGCAAAGCCAGGGCCGATCCTCAAAGAAGATTGATTCCTGTTATAAAAGAAGTTGTTAAGAAAGAAATTTTAAAGTGGTTAGATGCTAGAATTATCTACCCTATTTCAGATAGTGCATGGGTTAGTCCAATTCACTGCGTTCCTAAGAAAGGAGGAGTAACTGTGACTGTAAATGAACATAATGGGTTAATACCTACTAGACAAGTTACAGGAGGACAAATATGTATTGATTATAGAAAATTAAATCTTGCCACTAGGAAAGATCATTTTCCATTACCCTTTGTAGATCAAATGCTGGATAGACTAGCTGGGCATAAATACTTTTATTTTCTGGATGGATATATTGGTTATCACCAAATACAAATAACTCATATTTTCCATTACCCTTTCTAGATCAAATGCTGGATAGACTAGCTAGACATAAATACTTTTGTTTTCTGGATGGATATATTGGTTATCACCAAATACAAATAACTCATGATGATAAAGAGAATTCAACTTTTACCTGTCCGTATGGTATATTTTCTTTTAGAAGAATGCCCTTTGGTTTATGTAATGCCCCTGCTACATTTCAAAGATGTATGATGAAAATTTTTTATGATTTAATTGAAAAAGGGATTGAAGTATTTATGAATGATTTTTCAGTGTTTAAAACTTCATATGACTCGTGTTTAGAACATTTATCAAAACTAAGCGCTGTGAAGAAACAGACAACTCTAGTCCTTAATTAGAAAAAATACCAATTCATGATAACAAGAAGAATTGTATAAGGACATAAAATATCAGAAATATGTATTATGACATAAAATATCAAAAAATGGTATGGAAGTAGATCCTACTAAAATTCAAGTGATCACTAATTTACCTTATCCAATGAATGTAAGGGAAATTAGGAGTTGTTTCTACAAGTGTTACATAAAAAATATTTCTAAAATAACTAAGCCATTATGCCAACTTTTAGAAAAGGACATGAAATTTGATTTTAATGAGGAGTGCATAAAAGCATTTGAATTATTGAAAGAAAAATTAATCACTACACTTGCAATAGTTCCACCGAATCGGGATAAACCATTTGAAATAATATGTGATGCTAGGCATTATGCTATTGGGTTTGTATTAGGATAAAGATATGATAAAACTTTTAAAGTAATTTATTATGCTTGTAAAACTCTTAATGAAACTCAAATTAACTATACAACAACTGAAAGAGATTTATTAGCAATAGTATATGCCTTTAATAAATTTTGATCATATTTCATTAGAACTCATTGTGTAGTGCATACATATCACTCTGTTATTAAGTACTTAATGAAAAAGAATGATGTTGAACCTAGCCTTATAAGATAGATTCTTCTCTTACAAGAATTTGATTTTATAATATTAGATCGGATGAAAATCAAATTACTGATCATTTTTCCAGGCTTGAATTAGAAAAACCACTCTATTTTGAAAAAGAAATTAATGAACATTTTCCAGATGAAAATTTTTTCAATATTATTGAGTGGTGTGTTTTGTGGTATGTCGACATTGTAAACTTTCTTGTTGATGATATTATACCCTATGGAATGACATACCAACAGAAGAGGAAATTTATTTCTGAAGCTAAGACTTATTTTTGGGATGACCCATTTTTATATAAACAAGGAAATGATCTGATTATTCGAAGATGTGTACCTTTAAAAGAAACTTATGAAATTATCCAAAAATATCATAATTATGATTTTGGGGGACATTTTGATGGTTATTATACAACATACAAAATTTTACAATCTAAATTCTATTGGCCTACTATTTTTAGAGATGTTAATGAATGTATCAAAAGTTGTGATACGTGCAACAAGTAGGCAATATTTCTAGAAGAAATGAGATGCCCCTCAATTATATGCTAGAAGTTGAAATATTTGATATTTGGGGACTAGATTTCATGGGACCATTTATACCATCTTTCAAAAATTTATATATACTTTTAGTGGTAGACTATGTATCCAAATGGATAGAAGTTGTTGCTTTACCATGATGTGATGCTCAAAGTATTACAAAAGTTTTAAAAACGAACATATTTTGTAGATTTGGGATGCCGAGAGTTATCATAAGTGATAGGAGAAGTCATTTTAGAAATGTCATAATGAAAAAGTTATTAAAGAAATATCATATAAATCATAGAATTGTTACTGCTTATCATCCTCAGACAAGTGGTTTGGCTGAATTATCGAATCAAGAAATTAAAAGAATTATAGAAAAATCTGTGAATCCAACAAAAATGGATTGGTCAGTCAAACTTGACTATGCTTTGTGGGCTTATAGAACTACATATAGAACTCCTATAGGAATGTTCCCATATAGGCATTTAGGAAAGCTTGTCACTTACAAGTTAAAATTGAGCATAAAACATATTGGGCAATTAAGTAGTTTAATTATAATTTGAAAGATGCTGTTGAGAAAAGATTATTGTAATTTCATGAGCTTGAAGAGATAAGGAATGAATCTTATGAAAGTGCTAAGATTTACAAAGAAAAGATGAAGCAGTGGCATGATCAAAGGATTTTTACTAAAATTTTTTAGCCAGGGCAACAAGTTTTACTATATAATGCAAGGTTAAGATAATTTTCAGCCAAAGTTAAGTCCAGGGGTTATGATAAAAGTTTATCCTTATGGAGCTGTGGATATTAAAGATCCTAAGATTGAAACCTTATTTTGTAGGGGATCAACATAAATTTAATGAAGGAATGATGTTGGGTCAACCAGAATAAGCACTGGTTACGTCGGGCTGACGATGTAAAACCAAGCCCTTTGTGGGAGGCAACCCATATTTATCAGCATGTTTTTGATTTGATTGTTGTTTGTGTGTGATTAATAAAATTAGGTTAGTATTTTTAGGACTATTATGTGTTAGTATTGATTTTAAGACTTTATTTAGTAACCGAGATATGTTAGAATGAGAATTTAGACGTTTAGTTGACTAGTGCAAAAATGTGCACTGGCGCTTAAGCGCAGCTGTTAAAAAATATATGCTAAATTAAGATTATATAAGGTTTAACTGCCAATTGTTTTATAAAAATGTGCCAAGGCAGTCCAAAAACGTGCCTAGAAGTTATTTTGAGGGATTTAGACCTATAAATAAAGGGTTTTGGGAAGGAATCTCACCCCAGATCATTTTCAGCCCTAAAGTCTATAAGAGAGAGAGAGATTTTGAGAAGATTTCTGCATGGGAGATGGATTTGAAGAAGAAGGAAGAGACCATGAGGAAGAGATTCATTAGTCAATGTGCAAAAGAGATGTATAACAGTTTCTTAGCCGTTAGTATCGAAGGAATATCGGAAATGATCAACAAAATTGAGACTACCATGACTTTTTTTGAGATTAAGATAATTGAAGTTCATGCACATCTTGAGCATATTGGATGGCAATTAAAAATGTAATTTAGTCATACTAGTTATATAGACGAAGCAGATAAGGAGATGTTTCTTAAGCAGAAATGGATTGAAGAAGATATTATCAGAGCTCGTCACCACCGTCCGTTTTATTAACTTTATATTCTGATTGACCTAGGAGAGACTAATGAAAGACTGAAGTTTGTCCCATCAAATGAAGAATGGAATTAAGTTCGATGTCAGAGTTTGTTTGTTAGGAGTCATTGTGTTTATGTATTAGTGTTTAAGCTTATTTTTAGTGTTTATGCTTTTATGTGTTTAATTATGAATGTTTGTTTAATGTTTGTGCTTAGAAATTTTCTCATCCGAGACTATTTGGAGTGAGAATTAAGTGTTCTATGTACTTGTAATTGTTTGTGAATGAAAATATACATTTGTTTGTGTGAAAATTAGTGTTATTTTTAGCCTCAAATTGAATTGAGTGATAAAGAAAATTTTAAGAGAGAGGAGAGTTAAAGGAGATGAAAATAGTCATTTAAGTGTTATGAGACAATTTAGGAGAGGTATACTTAGGCAAATAGTACATTTTACTTAAATTTAAAAATCTCAAAAAATCGTGCACTGGCGCCTAAGTGCCACATCTCGCACTTAAGCGCGAGGTAACTGACAGCGACTTTATATATGCTTAAAAATACAAGAATTTGATACTGCTGCTAGATAATTTAAATTCCCGACAACGACACCAAAAACTTGACAACGGCTATAGATTTGATAATGATGTGTATAAAATATTCAATAATTTCAAAGTCACACTTATCAACGCAAATATCCGTATCACTCAAGTAATACAGGGCTCTAATGGAGTCCTGGATATTGATCCCATAGGGAGTAATATTAGAGGCCACAAACTAAGATTTAAAAAATCAATACTTAATCACAACAATATAGTTCAATTTGCATATTTGTCACTAATAAGACAATGAAATAAAAATGTAATTTTAATAACCTCTTAATTAACTAATTCTACTAATAAAGTTTCTAATGTGAAGTTCAATATATAAGAAAGCATCCTTCTCCTTGTCAAGAAATTTAAGTGAATGGATAAATTGAATCAGTTCAAATGGTATTGTGCCAAATAGGAGCATACCTATTCTTTATCCTTTGAACCAGGCATAAAGAACATTGACTAATCCTATGCTTGGTTACTGAAT